CTGTCCGGCCTGCAGAAGGAGCTGAGTGAGAAGGAAGCCTCGCTGTCCGGCCTGCAGAAGGAGTTGAGCGAGAAGGAAGCCCGGCTGTCCGGCCTGCAGAAGGAGCTGAGTGAGAAGGAAGCCTCGCTGTCCGGCCTGCAGAAGGAGTTGAGCGAGAAGGAAGCCCGGCTGTCCGGCCTGCAGAAGGAGCTGAGTGAGAAGGAAGCCTCGCTGTCCGGCCTGCAGAAGGAGTTGAGCGAGAAGGAAGCCCGGCTGTCCGGCCTGCAGAAGGAGCTGAGTGAGAAGGAAGCCTCGCTGTCCGGCCTGCAGAAGGAGTTGAGCGAGAAGGAAGCCCGGCTGTCCGTCCTGCAGAAGGAGCTGAGTGAGAAGGAAGCCTCGCTGTCCGGCCTGCAGAAGGAGCTGAGCGAGAAGGAAGCCGCGGTGAGCACGCTGGAGAGCCGCCTGAAGGAGAAGGATCTCTCCATCGCCGAGAGGGAGGCGGCGCTAGAGGGCGCTGTAGCGAGACTTGCCGAGGCGGAGAGGGAGCTGTCTCTGCTGCGAGAGAAAGCAGAGACCCCCGGAGAAGGCGAGCGAGGCAACCATCTCATTGAGGCAGAGCAGGTAGAGCTCGAGTTCATCAAGGCCGAAGCGATGACCCTCGAGACGAAACTCCTCAACTGGAAGAGACGCCGACGCCGCCCTGGTAGCGCGCGGGGTTGAGCTGGCGGCGGCGGCAGAGCACGCGCAAGCGGCAGAATACGAGGAGTGGGTGCGACGAGCCACGTGAGGTCGTAGTGGAGGATAGGCAGAAACCCGCTGAAGAGATAAGCGAGATGCCCGCCAACCAAGGAATGGTTCGCGCCGACGACATAACGTCGAAACAGTGCATCGCAGAAATCCCAGCGGATCTACCTCCTCCACCCACAGCACAGCCGGAGATAACGGGGATGCTGAGGCAGAGATGACGGGGATACTGAGGCAGAGATGACGGGGATGCTAAGACAGAGAGTACGAGGAGGCTGAGCCACGTGAGGACGTAGTGAAGGATAGGCAGGAACCCGCTGAGGAGATAAGCGAGATGCCCGCCGACCAAAGAATGGTCCGCGCCGACGACAACGTCGGAACAGTGCGTTGCGGAAATCCCAGCGGAACTACCTCCTCCACCCACAGCACAGCCGGAGATGACGGGGATGCTGAGGCAGAGACATCCCGGCGTGCCCCAACGAGTACAGTGAGTGGGTATGCGGCGCCACCCGTGACGCCTATGAGCGAGCGAGGAAGAACCTCGGTCGTGCGGCGGAACGCCAGAAGCAAGGCTACGACAAGCGCGTCCAACCATCGGCCCTGACGACCAACACCTGGGTGTGGTACTTTTACCCGCTCGAAAATGTAAAGTTAGGCCGGCCTTGGACGGGCCCGTACCTTGTCGTGAAAGACGAGGGTTCGCTGAGATGGATCCAGGCGACGGAAGAGGGACCGACGAAGGGAAGGACGGTGCACCCGAGCGCGACTCCCAGATGGGGAGGCTGGACGAGGCCAACCGGGTTGGCCCGCCCAAACGGCGGACGCAGACGAGGAGGAAGGGCAGGAAACCGTGGAAGGAATAAGTGGAATGTCCGTCGACCGCTGGACGGCCGACACTGATGATGAAGAGTCAGGTCAAGGCACCACGGAAGCCTCCAGGGCCTTGCCCCCTTTGCCCGCACCGCAGCAGTCGGATGATGACCAATGCCCACGAGCCTGAAAAGACGATGGACAGGATGGACCGTGAGTACCGGCAGCACGGATGGGCCAGTATGGGCGACCAGGAGACGCAACGGCGGCGACTGGCGCGGCCGCCACAATACTACGGGTTCCAACATCCGAGGGATAAAAAGGTAGAATGAGTGATGAGAGTTTGCCAGACGTCTGACGGCAGGAGACGGCTGCAGCGACGGTCAGAAGATGACCAGACTGTCACGGAAGGGGTTGCCGAGTAGCCCCAGGACGAGTTCTGCGCTTGGTGCAGGACAGGGAGCCGTGGAGGATGGGCTCACCGACAACGAACCGGGAAGGACAGCCGACAGCACTGACTGCCGGGCGGGGAATGCCAAGCGGATGAGAACCGTGAGCAGAAGGCGATCGGCGCAGAGAGAAAATCTCACCGAACGTGGGGTTGGGTCATTCGCGCGAAGGCGGCCCAGTCCACAGTTGACAAGGAGGCCGAGACAACCCCGCGACGATGATGGGCGGACGACTAACGGGCGTGAGGTCGAAGAATTTGACCGCGGGGAGTCGGGTCACGCTGACCTCCTGTCCCGAGCTACCTCGCCATGCCTGGGAGACTCGGGAGAAAGGTCCCGCGGCGTCAGTCGAGCGCGGCAACGGAACTGTCGCCCATCAAGTTCACGAGGGGAGCCAAGTCAAGCCACGGCGATTGGCGATTGTGTTTAACGCCCGCTGAGGGGAGCGGGGGAGCATCGGCGAGCGAGTTCTCGGGGCCAGGGAGCCTACCGAATCGCCGTCGACTCCAGACGTTCCACTATCCCGTGGACCTGGAAAAGGCCTCGTCACAGCGAGGGAGAAGCCTCACATAGTGCCAGGGACCATTAAGCACCCTGTGCCGTAATTAGTTTAAATGTTTACCGCTGGGCGATTGCCCCTTGTTTTTAGCGGATCGTACATTTGCAACGTTGGATTTGTTCTCCCGTATTTATAGTTTAGCAGTTTTGGTTTGGTGGAAATGTGTTGTATGATGTTCGGCCGGCGGCGAACCGGTAGCCGGACATCTGTGTGTCATCAGAATTCTTCAGTTTAAGTCGAGGGGACATTATGACAGAGGCCTCGTAAGTCTCTGCCTCTTCGTGGGGAATCCTTCATGTCATAGGACTTTGGGCATGAATTGAGCAGGGGCTCTCCAATTTTAAGTTGGGGGAGTGTAGCAAATTCGCTTTTAGGATCGTGCGTTTCTGTAGCGGGTGTTATAGTTTTATCTCACGAGAGATGGCGCTAGGGGGGGGGGTGTCCCGCAATAAATAATTTGTGTGTACCCTCCGCGAACAGAGCCCGGCATCGTAAAAACAATAGGCAGAAAACGGCGCGAAAAGGCGGAGACACGCCGAAGGTTATGGGAGAGCAGCTGCGTTTTAGAATGTGTCCGTAATCAATCGTGCATATATGTGCATAATTACTAGAGTGTTCGGGATTTGTGGTATCAGTGCTTCGTAGTGCGCGTACGGTACTAGTACTACTACTAGTGTGGTATGTATACTGTAGAGAATGTACGGAATACTGTAGAATTCTGTTTTCATATACGGATATATGTAGGATTTATGTACGGAATGTATACTGTACGTCTGTAGCCTCAATGTAGAGATAAATTCGTTACCAGCGTGTTTGGAATATGTCAGACTGAGACATTCATATAGTGTATTACTATTAGTGTTCTGTATGCGTTATTAGCTGTATGTTGCTGTAGATGTATGCTGTAGCAAGTATGTGTATGTAGCTGTAGGCCTACACTGATGGTGTAATTATATATAGCTGGCGTGTGCTATTAGCTGATGGGGTAATAATATAGCTGGCGTTTGTTGTTAGCTGATGGTGTAATAATATAGCTGGCGTGTGTTCTTAGCTGATGGTGTAATAATATAGCTGGCGTGTGCTATTAGCTGATGGGGTAATAATATAGATGGCTGTATTATACTGATAGTGTAATAATATAGCTGGCGTGTGCTATTAGCTGATGGGGTAATAATATAGCTGGCGTGTTGTTAGCTGATGGTGTAATAATATAGCTGACGTGTGCGGTGGGGTGCTTACACTCACGTTACTACAGACTACAGAAGCTCACGCTGACAATCGCAGGTTTTTCTCAACAATTTGCATTTGCCCAGCGAACCGAGCTTTCGCATATTTTGTACACCAGGGGTCGCCACCGCGAGGACGACGCTCGTTAAACAGTCTACGGTATAGCGAAGTAATCTGTTATCCGAACGTATTTGTGATGTATAGGCTCTGGTGTTTAAATCGCACGTAGTGATTATTAGTTCGCGTGTTATGGTGGCGTGATGGTCTGACGCGTCGAATCGCGCGCGATGATGACTCGAGTCTGGCTCGGAGCAAACGTGCTGCTGTTGCTGTGTAATTGGTTAATGTGTTAACTGCTTGTTTACCACGCGTTACCGAATAAATACTTATTACTTCCCACTTATTACTTCCTACTTCTCACTTCTCACTTCGTGACCGGCATCCCCTCCCTCCGTATCTCTCACTGGACGACCGGAACCCCCCCCCCCTTTTCTCGGTGCTCGGGTGTTTGGCTGCATCTGCCTTGTCGCGATCCTTGTGATCGAATCGTAACGGACGGGGAGTAATGGCCCTGTCAGGGTGCGCGGCGACAACGGCAACCGGACCTATACCACGGCCAATGGTAGTAGTCAAATAGCCCGTTAGGTGGAGAAATAGGAATCCATTACACTATAAAATAATAGTGTTAAGTGAACTTACGCCTGCAGGTATGGAGAATCCGCGAATATCTATGTCTTGTGACGTTACGCGCGTGTTAGCAATACCAACCGGATATCATTGAGCTGTGTGCCAAAAACAGAACACATTTATTACGTTTTATAAATGTCAATTATAATCCAGAGCACATGAAGGTTGAAGGTGACAGAATTATGAGACATATTCTAAGTTGAAAGTACTGAGCGATTTAAATGGTGAAGCATGTAGTGATGAAGACTCTGATTTGGAGGTGGAAGACGGGGAATTCTTGTAGGACACAACAATTTTTATAGGCTATTACGATCCAAAGTTTTTCGATATACAGCTCAAATATTGACATGTCTGAGCACTTTAATTAAACAACTTGTATTCATATTTGTTCACTTTCTTTGGGGGTCTGCAGGTATTAAAGTTAAGAAATCAAATGTGATAAATGCCATTAAACATACTGGTTTGAATATGGTTGACATTTGAACTAAATTTGATAAATATGAAAATAGATCCGTATCTATTTGCGTACTGAATGTAAATTAAGAATAGAAAGTTATGTTTGATTACCGGATTGCTAAATTTGGAGGCATTGATGTGATTTGGAATTGTAAATGTATGCCAAATTGTGTTTTCTTTTCTTGCGATAAAATACCTGATTTTTATTGTGATTTATTTGCCGTATGGCTTCATGAGAGAAACTGCTGAGGTGATTTCTCTTGTCCGCATGATTTTGAAGACACTATATACAATATATGAGAAATGAAGTGGTCGAAAAGAAACTGCTTTATATTAGGAGAAAATGCTGTTTCATCAAATCGAATGTTTTGTACACTGGAGATTTGTTGGAAGATTCCAGCTATCTGCAAATCAACAACATAAAAAGACAGTTGATAAGCAAACATGGTCGATGGATTAGTGGCTTCCTCTCCAGCTAATCTAGCTAAATAATGGGGGCCCGAGTGGGGGCATATTTTGGGGGCGGCTGGTGGGCACACCCCACCAGTAAAAAATTCTGGCAGCGGCCATTCATGCTACTTGGGACTATGCCAAACATTTTCCAACGGGGTTCAGAAGGGTTTCTTTTAAGCCAATCTAGCTAAATTTTAGGGGTGTGGCATTTGGGGGCGTCTGGCGGATACACCCACCACTGAAATATTCTGGCAGTGGCCATCCATGATACATGGAACTATGCCAAACATTTTCCAATGGGTTCCAGAAGGTTTCCTTTCTAGCTAGTCTAGCTA